GGGTCTTTCGTAGATTTTTTTTGACAAAAAGAGGGTAATGAGTAAAATGTATAAGTTATTAAACTCCTACTAGCTACAAATGCTTTACAAAAACTGTACTGACTGTGGGGGGAAAAACATGTGTTTTGTCCTCTTCCCAATTTTGCAACTGCAAGATTAATGTTGTTATTACATCCCTATCGGCTATGCCAAACTGACAATTAATGGGTCTTGTTATTGGCCCTGAATTTCCATATCTTTCTATCTCTGATACATCCTGGAATAAAATAGAATGAATGGCAAGATAGAAAAAACTGCAACGCATGAATGAAAAATTAAATAAAAAAGCAGGATATCGCACATTACTAGCAACACATAAACTGTACAAAAAGCTGTATGTTATGTTACAATCTAACAACTGCATTGAGAGGTGGATCTGTGTTATACACAGTATTTAGAAATTGAAATATTTATGTTTTTAATTATCTCTGTGTTTTTCCTGTAGGGAGGTACTCCTCCAACATTTTGCTTTTACGCAGTCACTGAACTATCAGAACATTACTCCTTTGATTGTGCAATAACTGCAGGATATTCATGAGGTACTGTTTCCTAGCAACATAGTGTATGTGCTGTGTATAAGCTACGGTACCACGTCTCTGATCACTCATCACTATCAAACACAAAAGGTGAATGAAATATTAGTTGAATATTTGAGAAAATGTCAGGCTTTGAGCACAAACATGTCATCTTGAGAGCCTGCTCTGTTTTCTGTTGTTTTTCTTCTGCTTCACACATACATTCACAGTCAATTCTTTCCCTTAAGCTCGCTCTGCTATCGCCATCCACAGTGAATTGTTGAGCCTTTGCAACTGGCACTCTCTCTCTTATTGGAAAATCACTCCTCTAGATCAGAGTTTTTACAGCAAAGCGGGCACTGTCAGTGTTGAGTCTGTTTATGATGGTACACAATGCTGCACAGCTGAGAGAGCTCAGTCAAAGGACCCTTAAGAGAAACATCACTGCATTGCTTCTCTCAATTCTGCTGCATATTGGTGCTCAATTCTAGACAAATGTGCTCATGTGCTCATTCTGTCACCCGAGGGCAGCTGTATTCTATTATCTTCAGGTGCATATGGGAAAGGACTGGAGGACCAAGTGGAAACGCATTATATCTGCTCAGCTTATTCATACTTGCATGAGGATTGTCCCAGCATTGGGGCTTTACTGCTGAAGATAGCTTTGACTCCATCCACTGGAATCAGCTATAGTTTAAATGGTTAATGAAATGAAATTATTTGATGACTAAAACTAAATTAAATTACTTTCTGAGAAAAGACGGTTCGCGTTTGTGGACTTTGACGCGTTCCAATTGTCTTAGGAAAGTGTGCCAAGACCATTTCAAGAACATATGAAAGGATTAATAATTGCACTGTGATCCAGTCCTCGTGTGATGGGTTTTATGGGTATGTTCGCTCATGTTAATATTTCCCACTGCTGTGTGAGCAGTATTTGAATTAATTCACTCCACTAATCTGAAGTAGCTGTCATTGTCACTGTGATCATGTAGCGATGAGGAGCATCGTCTTCGCTCCTCATGAGTCTAAGCTCAGGAGGAATGTGGATTTTGTCGTGTGCTCTCACATCATAAGATCACCTCATCAACAACAGGGTGTGATTGTGGCATTATACTGTCAAATATCAGTTCATATAAGTCCTTAGCTCGTGTGGTTAAACCTCTCCACCTCTATTTGATCATTTGCATCTCTGTATCTACAATTACACAGTTGAGTAGATTGCATTAAACCCCTCAATACTCCTGTGAGTGCCCACAGAAATTTGTTTCTGAATACACTTTGGCATTACGCTGCTGAACAACATCTCAAGTTGTCCTAAATATTCTTCTAAGTTTATTGAAAATTGCTGGCTTTCAGACTCGGATGCATTGAAGTGAGGACAGGCCAGCTGTTGGGAGAAAAAAATACATACTCACCTGTCTTCTCCACAGTCTTCTCCATCCATCTTTATTGTTTCTCACCCAAATGCGGTGTGTATCCTTGAGGTCTAATACATTTGTTGAATGCATTTCCTTCCTCATTTGAAACATCTGTTTCAACTGTATTTGCTTACTAACAGTGTTCTTCTTCTTCCTTGCCTTTGTTGCTACATTGCTACCATTGTCGGGAGGGTTACTTTAAAAATGTAATCTGATACTTTTACTTATTACCTGTTAAAAAATGTAGTAACTCAGTAATCTAATCCAAGTGTCACAATATTAAAATAAGGTACTTTTGGAATTGCCTCAACACCAAATATGCAATTAAAAACAAGAGATAAGATAGAGATAATATCAATAAGAAGTACTGATGCAAGTGTATTTAAGACAACAGAACAATGTGGCCTGAGAAAAGAAAATGGAAACGGAAGAAATGAAAGATTTCTAGCACCAACAGTGTGTCCTCTGCTCAGTGTATTTTCATACATATAAAAGAAAAACTGGTGTATTTTAAGATTGTAATGCTGCTTAATAATCCCAGTGTTTACTAAATGTAATGATAATCTGATTATGTCTTCTTTCTGTAACTGTCCTGGATTACAGTTACCTTTTTTTGTATCCTGATTACGTAATTTAGATACATGTAATCTGTTACTCCCCAAGCCTGATCATTACATTTAATGACACGTTACCACCAACAGTTGTCTTATGCATGTGGATGCAAAACAAAGAAATGGGCGAACTCTCTCTCCATTGAGGAACAAAAACCTTTTATGTATGTTTAGATTGTGTAAGATGTTGCTTGCTGTGTTAAATATACAATATATTAAAAAAAAAAAACAGCTAAAGAAGTTGATATGTCATGAATTGATACCTGGATTTATACTCACCACGTTGTTTGTTTTGAGCAGTACGTACAGTACTGTACATTTCTATTGATTCATTATAATCTCTTCCCATTCGCTGTGTTTTCTACTGTTGAATAAAAACTCTAGGGTTGTAGTCAACCAAAGAAAATCTTGGGGGGAGGATCGCGGAGAAAAAGAGATGTCCGTACAACTAAGCATAAAGCGATGCAGCTCAGGCAAATGCAAAATTAAAAAACTAACCGGCATCCAACCCACTACTGTTGTTATTTTTTTATTTACTTCATGTAGTTATTGCCATCAAAAATAAGTTTTACCCACTCAGCTCTTCTGTCCTCTGAGGCTGAGGGCCGATGTAGTGATTTTTGCTGGATATTTGACATTGTGTCAATTAGTTTGTAGCTGAATAATGTTAGTCAGCTAAGCAGTCTCCAGGCTGACAATTGAAGTTGTATAAACAGGGTTGTTTTGACTTCTTGACTTTGTCGTGTATTAAACCATACAGTTATTAAAACAAAACCAAATTTGTTAAGGGGAAATATATTTGAATATTATTATCATATATAATCAATGTCATAACAATATAGCTTATCACTCAAAGATACAACACATCAGGTCTGCATATGTCCTTCCCGCCCCCCCAAAAAATAAATTTTAGCGATTAAATAGTGCTTTTCTCTTTATGAAAGTAGTAGCAACGATTATCCATCCATTAAGAATTTGATCGGACAAGAACAAATCAACTAACCAATTGACCAGAAGGTGTCAGCCCTAATGTTTATGTTATAGATGTTCCATCTGCATTGCCCGTTGGTAAATTCAAGCCTTTCTAGTGAATTAAGGTTATAGTGATGAATAGTCTTGAATTTATTATCATTTACAGAGCATATATTTTTAAGCTGCATACAGTATATATGATTTTTTTGTAGTAGATGTAAGAGATAATGACTTGTTGACTTTGTTCTTGGATGTCTTCCAGAGAATCAATCAGTCATTTTTGGGTCCCAACAATCACCAAAAAACATCAGAATTTTGGAGTTTGTAGGTCTCGAGTAACAGCATAGAAGTTATTTGCAGCTTGTGTTGGCCTTAGCCAAGTATTATTTATTAATAATGTATTGATTTACTGACTTACTTAGTTAGTATCACCACATCAGTATCTCGCAGTGTCTCCCATATTTAGTTTATTTGGCAGCCAGCCAAAAAGTCTTTGCTTGTTTCTGTTTTTTTGTATTAATTATTTCTTCATATCAACGTGTGTTTGTGCAGTTGAAAGATGAACTGAAATGTCTGCCAGAATGGTGCATTCAAGTGGCTTCATAATGAATCCTCAACACTGTTTGTAGCGTGAAAATTTAAATAAGATACAGAGGCTACCTATTTTACTGATTGTGATTCTAATAACAGACTTTAAATGCTTAGGCCTACATAATTTACATAATTTACCTAAATGGCTACATCAGTTTGTAATATTATGTGCTCTTTATTGTTGCTGCCAGAGTGGTATGATATATTTATACATTTGTTAAAAAAAAAACAGGGAAAAAAACAATCAAGAGTGTCTGTCATGCAAAAACCTTGTGGTCTCATGAGACTAAACATTGCAGACACCTCATTCTGTCTGTGCTGCGTGCAGATGATATACTGTGCTCTGCATATTGCAGTAATCTGGTACTTGGGCGTGCATTTAGCACACTTGCTATGCAACAACTGTTATTTTCCAAGCCTTTTGTATAGTGTGCTCGCAGTATCAGGGAGGCGTGGAGAAGATGATAGATCCTGAGAGCTCGCTGCATGCAGAGGCCTTGGATTCAAGTAGCGGCTAACCATTCATTTAAAATAATTTCATGTTTCCCTCCACCAATTCTCTGTCCTTCCAGTGCTATTATCAGAGCAATTGAGGCAACATATTATTCAGAGGATGGCAGCCATTGTCTTTTTTCTCCAGGGCTGACAAACTTGTTTTTAATCGGTATTATTAGTTTACAACAGGAATAAAACACACTCACAAAGAAGCACTGCCAATCATTTAGCTGAAGATAATGTAAGTTTGCTAATTTACCATCCTGTTTTTTTTTTTATGATAATGTTTATAAGGTTTTATTTTAAAGCTAAGGGTCCAATTAGTACATTTCCAAATCACACAAATCTGAAAATGGATGTTGAAGTTTGAAAACATTTTTAATAGAAATAAAATTTTGTATAAAAAAAACTAAACATGCTTCACACATCTCATTAGTTTTCATGAGGTTTTACAAATACATAGTCAGATAGCCAGGCACTGTTTCTTTTTGTACATTTTCCCCAATTTTAGGATATGTCAGGACATAAAGCAGACATCATCAATCTATTTAATAACATACATTAACTTGCCATTTAATTTGGTCAGCACTCACATTTTATTCTGCAACACAAATGGTGTTGAAAGTAATACAGAGGGAGGCATGAAAAGCAGCATTGAATTCACAACACAAATGACCCCACAATGTTTTTCCCAAAGACATTAGAGGGCTTTTATACTGCACGAAGCCAACTATTAATCTGTTCCACGAGCTCTGGGTGATTGATAGAGATATTGTATACTTTTGCAATTAGATTTTCATTTGTTGAAAAGCCTTACAACTTTCTGACACCTCCTTCTTATCATGAGAGTGCCTGAGGAGGACATGTATAGTAATGAATTTTCTCAGTAGCTGGTCCATTATGGATATCACCTTTAGGGTATATTGCACAATCTTCTCAAGGGCATACTTCATCTTAATTCCCCTCCTAATGGATCTGTACAGCTAAGCTTTACCCTTACACTATGTGTGACCAAGAGAATAGCTGGTGGCAGTAATGGGGGGGTCATCCTGGATGACAGTGAGATCTCCTGGCTAAAATAATGTTTATTTTAGCCACGAGTCACTGTTTCAAAGCACATACAGGTATGCGGAGGGCAGTGGCAGCCTTAGGCTAGCTGGTAATACAAATCATGGCCTCACTTAAGCACAGATAAATAATCACTCACTAGACCTTCACCATTTGAGAACATTTTTTAACGCACAATAGGCTCGGGCCCAAACAATTGTTAACAACGCTGCAACAGAGTTTAAACGCATTCCAAATATAATATTTTTTCTTTTTCTTATTTTTTTTTAACAACACAACACAGGATGTTGAAACTGGCATGCTCAAAATCGGCAGAGACCATCTTACACGTCTACTCATTCTTATTAACTCAGTGGAAACCTGGAAGAGGAAAATAAAAATGGAGTCTGAGACAGATTTGTTGCATTGTTGAGATGATCACCATTTCCAGTTCTTTGACTCATGAGACCGGAATACATTTAGAAATAAAAACAAACACAAGTCTCTCTTAGAAATCCATGGACCATGTTTTCATGCCTTTTTGGTGTTGATTAATCCCTTGTGATGCCTTGAGGGTTTTAAGATTAATTATAGTTTGCAAAACTGGCAGACAACACTGAGAACACCTGAACATATTCTTGATTTTAGTTCAGTTCCAGTCAGCGTTGCTCAAAATGACAGAGAAGTCTTTGAAACAGGGCATAGCTGAAATGTAAACACTCAAAAGGAAAGCTCCATCCTTCAATCTCCAGGCCTCTGCCATGCAAGTATTTTTCATTTTTCTTTTTTTGTTTGTATTCTTGTGAGGCAGACAGAAGATGGAACCTTACAACTGTACTGTTATCTGTTCTGGTCCCCTGTTTCGTCCGTCCCTGTGGTATCTCCTCACCATGTAACGTCTTTGGGCAACGCTTCCGTGATCTCCACCCAAAAAATTACGCATCCATTTTTATTTTTTTTGCCAGCCGTGTGAAATTCCACTGCATGTTTTTTCTCCATCTGGGTGGAAATCCTGAATTGTGATGAGAACCTTTGTCCCTTAGATTGCATGGTTGCTGTAGCTGATGTAGGTTTGCTTTGTTGGGAAAGCTGAAAGAGAAGAATGAGAGTGGAGATTAGAGTCACATAGAGTTAAGGTGAACTATTGTAACATATGAGATGAAGAAGACAAGGGCATTATTTGGTCATGTTTTCCAGTGTAAGATGAAATGTCAAATAATCGCTGGACATAGATGTTCGGTTGCTTTTTAGTCCTTGTGCTGCAGTGTAGCATATATGCCAATAATTACCACAAATTCCTAAACTCTCCTATATCGCCTATATTTTTGCCTTCAATACATGTCTGTAAGAGATGGGGGTTTCAGTAAAGCCACCTGCCTACCCAACCACCTCTTTTTTCCTTCAGCTATCAGGCCTCAACTTTCCAGTTGTCTCCCCAGACTGTGTTAGCTGATTCGCTGAGGTGGAGCAGATAAATCCTGACATATCGCCACCAGATCTCGGCAGTTGTGGGAGCTGGCCCAGACAGGAATTTTTCAATTTCATCAAGCCATATATCCACAGTGGCGATGACAATGACAAATGGTGCTTATTCAAATAGCCATGCACTGTACGGACCCTGTAAACGGTAACCCCATCAGGATAAATTGTTGCTGGCTATCAATTCTGCGTCTTTGCCTTCTTGCCACTTATTATAACAAAAGGCCCTATTAACCCTCCACAGAAACTTAAAGTAAGCTAGGAATTAATGTTGCACTGTGTGTTTGTAGCTATTTTGATGGGCCTCACTGCTGTGTGCCATTGTTACTACAATGCATTGTCACACAGTTTATATTGATTTCAGTTTTTACTGTGTAAACAGTAAATACAATGTCAGCTCTTTTATTCTTCCATGAAGGGAAACATTTCTCACTACTGTTAGTATAAAAAGTAAGGAGTAAATACAGCTTTAAAATGTGTGACAAAAGCTTTGATTCCTTGTTAGTACAGGCCAGACAGAGGGAATGTATCTCTGGTGACAGACGTGACCGATTAAAACCTTTTCCTGCCCGAGGCAAACCGAGGAAGAGCATTTGGGACGTCACATGAGTAATTTCTGCTGACTCAATTGCTGAAGTCATTATTTACTTCACTTGTATAAATCCAGGGTTTGTTACTGATACAGTAGAGCCAGACACTTTTATTGCTATTGAGATTAGGAGGAGGCACCCGCTGGGAGCTTCAACTGCCTGAGAAAGGAGTCACATGCCTCTTGATTATTTACAGTGTGTTTAAGCTTGATTATCTTGATTGTAATTTCAATTAATTGTTTATCTATAGAAGGGCTGCATAATTAATCAAAATATTATGGTTTTTGCAATATGGCCAAATGCAATATCCAAATCCCAGTAGCTGCAGTTTTTTGATAAAGGTAAAATGTGTGACAGAACAGCATTATAATAAAGTACTATAGTGAAAAATTTATGTCCTGACCTAAAAAACATATTTCTTTGGTACAAACCTCAACACATGTTTTATTATCACGATTTTAAAAGTTTTTTCAGAGAAAATTAAATTTGTGATTCAAAAATAATCATTCCCACAGTAATCATTATGAACATTTGAGAATCTGGACTAAGCAAAGTCATGTATCTATACTGCAAATCAAAAACATTGTTTTTTACATTAGATTTTTTGTACAGCCTTGAATTTAGAGTAATTAATTTTCTAGCATTGAAATTTGTTGATTGATTAGGTGATCAACCCAAAAAATATTGTGATAATTTATAGTTTTTGCCATTTGTCAAGCACAACTGCAAAATATTCTTTATTTTCTTTGTCCTACTATATGATAGTGAACCGAATATATTTGCCGTTTTCATTTCAAATAGAGACAAGCTATTTGAATAGGTTACCTTAAGCTTTGGGAAATTACTACCTTGTCATTCAGGTTTGAGACCTGTGACTTAAACAAGTATTCAATTACTAAAATTGCTGGCTTTCTGTCCATTGACTAGTCAATTAATCAACTATATGTAACAGGGCTTGGGTGTAGATAGAGAGAGCAATAGTTAAAGAGGAAAGGTAAATTTTTGCATGTGGAACTTGCCAAGATGTCGGATTTCATGTGTAGTGACTAAATTCAATATAATGATGAAAATCTGTTTTATGAACATTCAAAGAAAATGATAGTGGAGGAAAAAAATCTACATTTCCACTTGCCATATTTCAAGCTCTTACTGAAGTAGAATTGCATTGTTGAAGTACAGAATATGTTCTGTGTTGACATCTGTAATCCATTCCTTTATGAGTTCACGCCCCCCGCACACAGAATTGAGAATCCTGTAATGGTTCCTTCTGACTCGCAAACAATACACCCCCATTCAAATGAACAGTGGCACATTGACTGGATTCAATGAAGTGTTAAATAACATGCTACACATCTGTTAATAAGTAAATATGTTTTACTCTACTCTTTTACAGACACTGAAGGACAAAACATGCCAGATAAAAAAGAAAACTGTGGATTTTTAAGTCAGCTGCTTCCTCATTAGCATTTGTGTACTTACTTTGTGTTTCGAGGCTTTCGCACAGCTCGGTTTTGGCTTCTCCATTGGGTCTGAGTCCGGCCTTGGGGTTGAACTTGTTGGACATGGTGGCAGCGGTAACCACGGCCTTGAGGCTGCGTGTGCGCTTGGGCACATTCTGCTCAGGGTGGAAGAGAACCACGTAGACCTTCGGCATGTAGAGTAACCCGAGGGACACTGAGGCACTCAAGCTCACAGAGATGGTCAGAGTGGTTGTTTGGATGTACATCTGCAAGAGGCAAACACCAAACATGCACAACACAAACAGTTTAGCCCTTTTTTTGGAACTGAACTGTGCAGATTTTCTATATGGGCAGTGGCTTGTACAGTACAAGTGACATCTGCTGTGTATCATTGTAATTAGAGCATCCAATGACCCGTTTGTTGGCCAAGCTGTTGTTGAAGTAGTTTCTACTGTGTCCAATAGAGGCTTCAAAACTATTTAATGCAAGTGATGTTATAAAACTTGTTTTAAATCAGCATCTCATTTGCTTTTATGGCGCATCTGCCAATCCAGCCAAGGCCACCTTGTTTGTTTAATTTTCTGCCATGCTAGTTTTAATATGGCCATCACGTCAACCTGAACACAGATTTGATAACACCAGTCGATTGGATCCTATTCTGACTCATAACAAGCAGGACCGTAAAAAAGGAACAAGCTCGTGAAAATTTTACACATGGTCAAATCCTCTGAATCATAGGGGAGGGCAACTCTGAGTATCAGTCTCACTCATTCTATTTTAATTGTTTCCAAAGCTGCAGCAAATTAATGAGTCATCTTCAGGGACGCATTAAAGAAGCAAAGCTTGTGTAATTTCTGTACATCGTACTATGTTGTGACTGCTTGACTGGCCAGCTGAGAGGAATTAACTTGTACGTTGTGTAATAGAAGTTACAATTTAATAATACTGCAGAGTTGAATGCATCCAAACATTATGGCATTTTCAACAGCAGGAAGTCCCTACCTTTTGTAGACTGACTGAGGAGGTCAGGTGTTGTTACGGGCACAACCAAAGAAAAAAAAAAGGTCAAACTTACGGATATATAATAATATATATATAATAAAACACACAATAGGCTGCACTACCACCTCTGAGAAACTCTAGTTCTCTCAAATGTATGCTGTACGCTGCATTCACACTGCATTGTTCAGACTGTACTTATGAGCTGGCAAGTGGGAAGAATACATCTTCACCTTGAAAAAACTATATTTTTCAATTCTACTTCTTCTTTCACTGAAAAGAAGTAGAGAAGTGTCAACAAACTGCTGGTAGTTACATTCCATTGAAATACAATATGAACAAATTAGCTAACAACTATTTATTTATATGTGGTAAACAAAATAAGTCAGTTTAGGGTATGTGTCTAGTGTGAATACAAGATTAGCAGTTAGAATAATGCGAGGTTTGCCAACAATGAGTGAATGCAGCGATAGGATCGCAGCAAATGCAGATTGAGTAGCTTCAGTGTACAGTGTTGAATTTCTGCCACTTGGGGCTCTCTTAGTTGTTGTCTTCGGTGTTAAACAACCACTGTTGCTGATAAAAATCTATCTGACGTGACTCAGGCAGAAATTATTCACAGGTGAGGTAAGTTTTGCTCATTTTTAGGCACATTTCCCAACTTCCTCCCTTACTCTTTTACGTATTCGACGTATCTTGTGTATCCCAAAGTTACAGAAACTAGAGGCAAGCAAGGAATAAAAATGATAGATTTCTCCTAGTTTGAACATTGTACACGACTCAACTAAATATATGACATAGGTGTAGCATTTTTAGACATTTTAATGCGTAAATGTTATTTTATTATTATTATTATTATTATTATTATTATTATTATTATTATTATTATCTTTGAGTGATGACTGCTGTGTAATTATGACCTTCTTTAGTTCAAAATCTGTATCCCGTTGTTGTGGGCTTGTGAGGGAGTGATGAGGAAAGATGCAGCAAAGACAGACCTAGAAAAGTTCAAGGTAATTACTGCACAACTAGCCAATCAAATATATAATTATTATACAGTAATAATATCTGATAGCAAGTGTTCTGTGGGATGGTACTGGCACACTGCCTGGGATTTGAGAAATACTATACAGTAGGTCCCTCTGTGCTCCCCATCTCAAGAAATCAAGAAATGAATAATGTGTAGCCAGATATCTATTAGTACAACTGTACCTGACATTAATGTTTGAGGCAGAGGCCTCAACTTCCTGTCATGTGTTCCTTATTCACAGTCCATTTAGGTGGGCTGCGACACAATGTTGCAGGTTACATTATATTTACTCTAACATGGCCTGAGCTGGCAGAGTCAGTATCATCATCTCAGGAAAATAATTCTTATATGAGAATATGAAAGGCTGTTATTATTGGGTTTTCCCATGCAGATAAATGCATTGTCTTCCAGTAAACAGCACAATAATCATCCAAGTATGGAAATAGATAAAGTTTCAATATAGTTTGTCTTTCTTGCTTGCCGCTTCCCTCAAATGTCAAAAACATTTTAAAAAATTGCCACCCCTAATCCAAATGTGATCAGCAAGCAAACAAATTCAGCCTAGTCTAAAACCTGTCTTTTCAGCATGTGGTATGTATCTGCTGCTATGGGAAACAAACAAACTACTACAGTTCTTTTTTTCATTTATAAATGCATTTAATGAGGCAGGTTGTAATAAGTTCTTAATAAGACAAGATTTAATAAGTCCTTTCTTCTAAAGCCGATTTACTAAGCAGTTGAGTAACAGAAATATTTCTTTAGATTTAAAAAGATCTAAAAGGTTCTTTGTAGAATTTTCAATATAAAACACTGCTGTGGGCGAGAGCGATTGGAATCTCAGTGGAGAAGAGTGGCTGCAGAATTGAAAAAAGTGTATTACTGTTCTTAGGCTGCTATGAAAACTGATTTACAACTATAATTAAACTACTGTTGACTGACTGTTAGGATATTACCCTTCGCTAGCAGATCAAACATTTTCTGGGGCCATGATATAATACTCTACTGGAACAGGCTCTCATTCATATGCTTTGTACCTTAAACTATAAATATTTGATATGATTCCACCTTTGGAGTACTATCTCTTCCTGTTGACTGGGAGAGTTTTCATCAGCTACTGAGTGACCCTCAGTAGATCCATGCTGGTTTTTCATCAAAGCAGAGTAACATTTAGCTCCCCAGATGTGACCCCAGCTTGAATATCTTGTTTGTTTTTATTATTTGTGACTCTCCACGGTGCTTTACCCCCAGACTGACTGCATCTCATCTCAGCCAGTTCGGGTACCATGTGGGACTGCTGGCTGGAGAGAACAATGGAAGAATGGAGGCTGTATGAGAGAGGGACAGCTGCAGTGGTCCCCTCCCAGCTGTAGGGAGTGTTAACCAGTGAACTGCTCTGGGCTTGGTTCACTGCTGCCTCAGGGACAGACTGTTGAACTCAAGCTGTTACTCACATGAGCAGAAAAAAAAAGTTGTGCCATCTTCAAAGCCATCCTTGCGGTCAGTTAAATAACCATCATTTAAAACAGGGCTTGGGGATAGAGCTGAAAGTAGTATTGAGATATTTAATAAAAATACTTCAATATATACATTAAAATATAATAGAATGCATGCAAAATTAGTTAAATATATTTGCCAACTATAAAAAAGTAAAGGCTTCAACTAATCATCAATTACTCTGCATATTCTGTCAACCAATCTGAAAATAAGAACAGTAAAATATATTTCCAGAAACCAAGGTGACATCCACTAATGTAATTTTATCCGACCAACTGCCCAAAATTCAAAGATATTCAATTTACAATGATATAAAACAGAGAAAGACATTTCACATTAGAGAAGCTACAACCAAAATATTTTTGCCTGGTTTTTGCTCAAATAATAGTTGGTTAGTATATGTCATTTGACTTTAATATTAATTAACTTTTTACACATACAAATACCATCAACTAACAGTTTCTACAGTAACCCAGAACGGAGGGCCTTTCACGTCTTTTCATGTTTCACATTGTTTCTCCTACACGCTCGGAATGCGAGCTGTATTCAGTAAATTGCAATTAGGATTGGTTGATATGTTAAAATTTTCCATCCGGCCACCGTCAGTCCAACAACATTGCCTACATATTCGCACTAGCAGGTGCAAGAAGCGCTCATAACTTAAACAAAATAAACTCACAAAATGTCAGGAAAGAAAATATTTAAAAACACTTTCTGAACTGAAGTTTCTCTCTTCCACCAAACTAATATCGAACCCACTGATTTACCTTTCTACCTCGAAACACAATTCAACCTTATTGTCACAGCCACCAACAGACGTTTTATAATCATATTTAATTACTGCCTGGCCCATATTTGAAAATCAGTATATTTTTATTTTGGTATTTCTTCAGACAGCCACTAGATTAAAAAAAAAACGAAAACCTCCAACTTCAACTGTACTGCTTCCTGGAGCTACAGTGGGTCTGCTTATAAATGAGAGTCCTGTTTTCAGTGTCAGACCAACTCCAGTGTTCAATCCATTAATTTGCTTCCTCCTGATTGCAGTGCACCTGAGCATGCACAGACCAGAGCTCATAAAAGCGAGTTGCTGTATATCTCACACACACCTATCATCACATTGCCATTAGCAGATCTTGCCTGAGGCAAAACATAACATAGAAGAAGCAGGGTATGGCAGCATTAATGACTAAACTAGATGTGAAGAAAATAATCTATCAGTATGTATATGGTGAGAGGAGTTAAAATAAATCCCACATCTCTGCCTACAGAGAGCGTCGCACACAACTGAGTGATAACATCTGTGATAACTGATAACGTAAGATTAATTTGATGGTTAATAAATGTAAATAGATTATATTTTCAGCCAGGGACTCTAGAGTGCTTTTGCTTCAGGATGCAAACTATCAAAATCATTTAAACTACACAACTCCCACTCTACAGTAAACTTCAGCATTATTTCTCAGCATGCTATTGAAACGTTATGCAGAGGGTCTTGCAGCATGAGAATTCAATATAATTGCACTCTAATTGAGCTAATAAACAAATAGAAGCCTTAGGGGACACAATAATATAGCTTCATGGGAGAATGCAATTTATAAAGATCACAATTCTTTGGCCTTGATTAGCTTTAGGGCCTGTTCACCCATTATTAGAGCACCCAGAGGTCAATAGCCAAGACCCAGATGACTGCTGTGCTGTAGGCCTAATGAACGCAATGACTGCTCTCTGAAGTCCAAGATGATGTTCAGCTCCCTCTGCTACAGCATCAGTCTCCATTATGTATTACTGGGCCTGTGGGACATTATTGTGAATAATCCTGTTTATCTTTGTACTGAAAAGAGACAAAGAGAGAACTGGAAAGGACCGGGGGGGTGGTAACAGGTAGCAGGGAAGAACACAGAGTCGACACAGTCATGAGCACACTCCTGTTTGACATCTGGTCTCGTTGAACTCACTGCAACTCCCACTCTTTGTCTGACTAGTGCACTAACAGCAGTTTTTTTTTTGTCGTCGAGTTGGCAGTGCCAATAGTGTGATGGAGACTTCATAGAGAAATAAACAACACCACTCAATTCATCAGTCCATTCATGTACTGTAATAGCAGGACCTCTTTGTGTGGGTTGATTGAATTTGAACTGAGCCTATTGTGCTGAAGCGTCATTCTCATGCATGCTATTGTTCGACGCCTCTCCTCCTGCCTCTGTCTTTGAGGCAGCTGCTGATTTAGACTGTTTCTCCAGGTAAGCAGGTGTCACTTCTATTCCTGAAGCTAGCATAAAGCTCGGTGATCACGCTCCATAGATAGACCAGATGTCCCTGTTTGAATGATAGAGAAAGCCTCCCATGGCATTTGTTACATTTATCCTGGCACCAGATGACAAATAAATGACTGGGCTTGTAATGCTGAGGCAGAGGCCCGCTGTACACTGGTGATGAGCACATAGGCGGCTAGATAAGGTAAATCAAGACCCGGAGGAAGTGGAGCATTTAATTGCTCTGAAAGACGTGTCAACGTGGGCTGTGAGGCTTTGTGGGGCCTGTCACTTACAGTACGATGATTATAAGGTGTGTTTGCTTTGACATGTTAATTCCTTAAATAAGAACATTGTTTATGTAACAGCTCAGAGAATCAGTCACAGGGTTTGTTTTTTGTTTTTTACATGAACCTAGCACAGCAAAACTGTTTGCTTTATTGTTAGTCAGTAAAAGCCCTTCATACAAATGATATATACTGACACCCCTTTGGCAAGGATGACATTATTTGTTAGTTCCTTCCTAATCTCTGCCCTGTATGGTCTGACTAGGCTAAGTGTGAGTTAAATTAAGTTTTTACAACTCAACGTTCAAAAGCCCTTTTCGTTATGATATTAAATATGATTATTCTCTCTCAAATGAGGAAAGACAAAATGTAGGACATTTCCCTAAAGCAAGATTTCCATTTTGTGTTCCATTTCATGTCGTACCTTAACAAAGCTCAAGGCAATGGTAGAAGTTTTCCAAATGATAGAAGTGGAGCAATCTCCCAGCCATTGTGTGCGCATTTGTCCACAGGAAATAATAATTAATGAGTGACTAACATATATTTGGAGCAAGAAACTTGAATGTCTTATGGGTGAGAGAAGTTTTTCAGGGTTTGTAAATTAAATTCATCTGAGGTATGGACTTAACTTACCCTTCAAAGATTTTCTTTAACTTCTATTTTACCATTCAAAGCCATGCTAGCTAATGGATTACCTCATCCTCCAAAAAAGCTGTTCAATCTCTCTGTGATTGTATAATTCTCTTTCATCTTCAGAGAGAGGAGATGGAATGATTAAACAAAGAACTCGCTGATATCCATGGCTGCTGTTGACATGCGACTTAAGATGTGCAACACTCACATTAAAAAATAATGTGGACTTGGACTGCTTTTTCTTTACTGTGTGTGATGATCAAGAACGTATAGTAATACTAGTTGAATAGTTTTCCTGAATATATTTCAGTAAATGTAAGATATAACAAGTAGTATCTGTTTAACTCAGCAGGTCTCTCATTGTTTTCAACATGTAGAAGCTGTTGCTCAGTTTTAGTGTTAACACCAGCAGATTTATGGGGTAAGAGGAGGCCAATATGCAGATTCACAGTAGTTTAGACTCTGCTGTGTTCACACAACATGCAGCACATGAAAATAAGTTATTGTAGTTCTGGTCACATTCTGCATTATTAATGTAATTCAATTGGCTGCAGTCATATGCAGATTTTCTGCAATGCTGTAGACTATAGAAATTATTTTGGGATGCTGAGCGTGACACATTGCATCCACTCAGTCTCTCAAGAACGTTTTTCCACAAAGGTAACTATCACAGCCAGTTTTCCAGGCCAGCATTTTGATGCATTGTTTTGTTTAATCCCAAAGGCGAAGGAGGTAAGGATTAATTTGTTGCATCTGTCGGACCCATGCTGGCACCGCTGATAGTGTCCATGCCAGTATGAGGCTTTTCCCTCACCACTGTCCTCTCTTGTAGCCACTGAGCTTTTGTTACACTGCCAAAAGACCTCTTTCAACTGGATCTACACATTTCTACTGTGCCATTGTTGTACCCCTTTGGCTTTGTACCCAGACTGTCTCCACTGAATGTGAGTTCCAAGCGCAGCCTCCAATTCCATGTCCCTTTTGGATCCCTCTTGACCTGTAGCCTCCCAGTGCTCCCACTGGATGGGATCCAGGTCCACAGTTCATGAGGTCAGGCACATTGATTTGACATGGGAATACGAGTGTGAGCTTGTGTTTGGGTAAACAGCTCATGGGTCTCTAATGCACTGTGACGTACAGCCGTCACATATATGTGAGTCACACGCTTGCGTGCTGCCTGCAGAGTTATTAGAGAATGCACTCATAAAACTGTGTCCATTCTTTGTTGTTTTGTGTATTTCAAATACAAGGCTTCTACATGACATTTTTTAGTTAGTTTTAGTTTTAGCTGCTCATCATAAAATAAAATACAGGCAGAGTGGCACATTTGGTACCACTTTATTTGAAGGGGCGTGCATAAGACTGACATGACACCTGTCATGAACACGAAGGAGTCTTAAGGAATGTTTATGCCTGTTGTCATTGTATTCTGTTAATTAACCCTACCCCCATTAAAAATGTAACATAATTGCAGAAAAAGTAGTAATACCACAATTTCCGAAATACTCCATTACTTGTAAAAGCCTGGAATTCAAATTGTAATAATTCAAAGTAACTAGTCATCTGTAGATGTCCGATAAATGTATTAGAGTCAAAAGTACATGTAAGTATGTGTATATATATATATATATATATATATTTACAAATAGCACACAATAGAAAATATAATTACCTCAAAATTACTCTGGAGTAGATGTACTTACCTACTGCTAATGTGTACTATTATTTTGTTTTTGTAATAATATTTGAAACATTCTTGTGAACAAGAAAGAAATTAAGAAGGGAAGCTAATTTGATTTGGAATTAAAAACATTTTTGTGAAGCTACAAAGATTTTTAAAAGCCTTGAAGTATTGCCATGAGTTAAAAAGCTGGCTGAAAGAAAGGGGGAAAAATCACACTACAGCAATAATTAAGCTTACCTTTTCTGTGGACTGTGAAGTACCAAAGAAGATTGGGATGAATGCTAGCCAAATAATGCAGGTGGTGTACATGGTAAAACCAATGGGTTTGGCCTCATTGAAGGTCTCCGGCACGCCTCTGGTTTTAATGGCGTAGACTGTACAGGTCACCATGAGCAGCATGCTGTAGCCCAGCAGGCAGATCAGAGACAGGTCAGAGATGTCACACTTGAGCACACCACGAGCCATCGTCGGGTTAGACGTCCTCTGGTCCTCAAAGTCAATAATGGCCTTGGAGGGATCCACACCAAACCAGATGCACACCCCGAGCAGCTGCACTGAGGCCAGGGTAAATGTGATGACTAGCTGGGAGGCTGGAGAAATGAACCTGGGTGCACTGACAGACATGGAGCCCTGCTCAAAGATGCGATAAATACGATTGGTTTTGGTGAGCAGGGCAGCATAACTAATGCTCATGCCCAGACCCAAAAAGATCCTCCGGAGGGAACAAATTCCTACATCAGGAGTAGAAATCATCAGGAATGTTGTGGCATAACACAAGAAGATGCCAGTTAGCAGCACATAGCTCAGCTCTCGGCCTGATGCTTTCACAATGGGAGTGTCGTTGTAGCGGATGAATGTGACCACCACAAACACAGTGGCCATGATGCCAACGACTGCAATAAGCACAGGGATGACTGCCCATGGAGAACTCCACTCCAGTTTAACAATGGGGATTGGAACGCAGCCCGTGTGATTCTCATTGGGCCGCAAATCAAAGCGACACATCTTACACGTGTAGGTGTCTGCCTGGTACTGATAGCCATCACACCGCTCACAGTGCCAACAGCAAGGGATACCCTTCACGATTTTCTTGCGCTCGCCAGGCTGACAAGGCTGGCTGCAGATTGAGGAAGGGATCTGACGGACACCGCCAGGCCACTGCATTGAACGAACCTGGGAGGGAGGCAGAAGGACACAGACAGACATGAATTGACACAGAGAGAGACAAAGACAGAAGAGAATTTGTAGAGATTTGTACCAAACTGTCTGTATCCTGTCAAATGGTCGCATGTAGAGGTGGTGATGCTTTATTGATCCACAAGTTTCCCAGCACCCGTGGAGGTCAAGGACAGTCTACACGGTGGTTACTTGCTGTTTGGGTGTTTGAACTTGGCCTGTAGTACCACTCTGTATGCTCCCATGCTACTTGGTTTTTATTTATTTATTTGGGTGCGGGGGGCGGGTGAGAAAGGGCAAACTATGGGGTCAAATACAGTGTTCTTCATGGATTCAGCAGAATTTACCAGTGGGAGGTCAAATTATCTGAAGGGCAAGACATGAGAGGGAAGGGGAAACCCATTGTTTGCTCTACAGGGAACTGACAGTGTTTTTTTTTTTTTTTTTGCTTTGATTAATAGTTGTTTGTTTAAAAAAAAAAAATCAATACTCAGTTGTCTACAATCAGAGAAATAAAAGATAAATTATGTTTTAGGATTTCCCCTTTTACAAGCATGCTTGTAAAGATAAATGAATTTCCTCATTTCAAACGGACTGCTCTCTTTAATGTTATGTTATCAATTTTATTCAATTGTGGCAGTTCATTCAAAGGCAGTAAATTTGTCTCTAAATGTGCATTTAATTAAGAACTCAAAGAACACTAATTAAATACAGCCAGCTTTAGAGTCAGAACTGGCACGTTCCACAGTAGGTGCCCACCGCAAACCTTGTTTTTTTTTTTTCCTATTTTCTTGCACAGCACGTTGTTGAAAGAGGTAAAGAAGGCAAAGCTCCTCTCAAGCTGCTTCATGTGTTCAATTGTACTCTCTTTTGCCTGCCCTAGGCCTCCTCTTCATTTTGTCAAAACATAATTTGTTTGGTTCTTTATGTAATTTACTGTTATAATACTGATACTTCATCACATCCCCTGCTCACAGTATTGTTTTTGGGAGTCAGTGATGCCGTCTGGAGAGATGATATTAAGTACGTCTGTCCTTAAGCTCTCGTAGGCTTTCTTTTCATCACAGTCCGCCCTGTTAATCATTTAAAGCACCCTCTGGATATTTACACCTTTGAAGATGGCACTAAGCACTATCAAATGGTTTGGGAGGAGTTAGTGAGCAAACACGCAGCTGCAGAGCTGGAGAAAACAACTTCTCAGAGAGGGATTTTCATTGCAAATGCTAACACAAACATAACACTTGTAGGCTAAATGTTGTCGATCCTTTTATGTAAAGTAGATGCGTGCGGGCATGGAATACAGAAGGCAATGCTCACGTTGAGATGGAGTTGATCTGTCCAATGGCCAATTATTTTGTATTCTGCCGTTCGGTTTCTGATCTGGTATTGGTAGATCTCATAGCGTCCGGGGGCATCTCCATTTTCATTGAAGAGGACTGGGTTGCCAGCTATGCCTAAAGAAGAGAACAGTCATTATTATTTATTAAATTATTTTATATGTAATGAACATGAATCTGTGAAAGCAAACTATTATGTTATCATTCCGCTACAATAGAAACCAAAATGATGATTGTGAATCTGAAACATTTCTGTTTCTAATTTGGCAAGATGGCATATATAACATACCCTCACATCCTGACTGCAGGAGACACATAAATACATACATACATACATACACTAGGAATTATGTTCATATTGGATGATTCTATCATTTATGTTCAGTGCCAACTTTATCACCCTTTCCAGGAAATAGTTGCCAGTTATGTTGCGTGGTGGAAAGCATGTGTGGTGTGGAGGTTCGGGTTGTGAAAGGTCTCTAATTTGTTCCGTGACACAAACAAGTTTCATGTTTTTCTCAATGACAACTAACCATCATCCACTTAGAGCTTTGTATGTAAAATCAAAAATGGGATATACTATACATGGGTAGCTAACAATCTAGCTACATCCGTGAAAAAATAGTTGGAGAACATTGCCAAAAAATGTCGACTGACACAGTAACAGATACAGCATTTTGTTTTTTGGATCGTCTTAAAAAATAAGAAATGCAGAATCAGATTCAAAAATAATTTATTGATCCCTGGGGGGAAATGTGTTAAACCTAAATAAAGTGTTTTAGTTTCCTAATCTTAACAATAGTGTTGTTGCCAACTGCAAACATTTTAAAAAGTTGAATATTAAAAAATAACCAGCTTTGTGTAGCTGGCTACCAAAGAGCATCCATTAAGCTGTTGGACTGACGTTGGTCAGGGTTGACTACTAACCCACTCCTGACCTCAAACACATTATTCTCACAACTGATGCTGTCTACCCAAGGTGTTCTCTGCTTTATCATTGTGATAACAATGATAACGTCAATGTATTCCTGTGAGAACGTTTTAAGACGAGCAGTAATGATGTGTCACAAAGAAAGCACACCGAAGTTTTCTCTGTAAGCTCCCAAAAGGAAACTAGATGAGCCGCACTTCCGACGATCCATTTAATCATAGTAGAACGTGGAAAGGTTCTCCTTAGAGGGAGAGCGAGGGAACTTCATGTCGAATTGCTTTTCACATCAGCTTTCACAAACATCTATACCTTCATACACTGATGAAAGCTGTAAGCCCCTGTGTTTTCCTTGCTACGCCTGGTTTATTATCGAGTCCCCCAAAACACAGGCATCCTGTCTAAGAACAAAAGCTAAACGTGGCCAATTGCTGCTGATGGATTTCTGCTGATGAGTATTTTATTCTTGCTCTTTGTTTCGATGCTGAAGGATGCAGCGCCTTAATCCACATCTCGATGAGTCAGCCCTTCTGGATTACGGCATTACTGTTTTACTCAGCTTTGCCTCTGTGACAATACCGCCCACATCACAAAGCAGTTAGTGATCATGGGAGGATTACAGTGACTTTATGAAGCAGAGAGGCATTATATTTATATAAACATATTAAGCACATCAACACTATGACTACTCTCATATTTTCTATCAAAGATTTTTATCGTGCAATGCTTTGTCTCTTTTTCTCCAAATTCCCAAGCTTTTAAAAGCGCTTTGAAGCTCTCTGCCTTCCGCTGTCACAGTTGGGGTTATTTGCTCGAGCCTGTAAGTGCTCACATGGACACCATTGTCACTGAAAGAGGAAAATGGACCCTGAATGCCACACTGGTGATTTTGAGAGACTAATGCAGCAACACTATCAGATTTACACTGCTGATACTGTATGATTATATAGTCAGTAGTCTTTTGGTCATGCTTACTTTTCAAAGATTGACTGTTCTCTAACTGTGACTTTGAGCTACTGTAAATTCTGTTTATATGCACAAATTACTTATTGTTTATCACACACAAGCAATATGCACACAATGCCAAGATTTTGGTAGTCATTAAGAAAAATGTGTAATATCACTTTAAAGGCCTGACTTTTATTTTTGGACAATATAATGTACAGGTATATGTATAGATATAATTGAAGAGGTTAACTGAGCCTATTTTACTCTTGTTCTTGTAACATGAGTGATTTAAAAACATCACAACAGTAATAAAAAAAAAAAATGCTAAGATTGGAAAAAGGGTTATTTGGGGGTAACAGAAAGTTTGATGAGATTCTGTTTTGATCAGAAATGTTGCCTTTAATGTTGTCATCTAAACCATATATCCCTGGGATCCCTAAGGGGTTCGCAAGATAATTCCAGGGGTCATCAAATGGTTGTGGAGAATAATATAAAATAAAATATTTTGGCAAACAACATAGAGTTAGAGAGAGGAAGCAGCTCTCAGCATTGTCATCCTTTAAAGAACTCAAAAACTCTATACTTGTGTTTTTATACAGTTACCTCAGTAATATGAGGATGTATTTATATCTAATATTGTTCTTTTAGGCCTAAAGCAGACATTTTGACTGTTGACTGTGAATATAGCCAAATCAAATTAGTGGTTGTTCTGTCTGTGGGCAAAGCAATGGTCCTCCTGAGCTTGGTAGCTTTCATGTGTTATATTAAAGTAATCACTGAACAGTCTCGGGCAGACTGGGGAGTTATGAACACCAACCAGATTTTTTTCGGGGGGGGTCTTGCCTCAAAAAGGTTGAGAACCACTGAGCTACACTACTACTACTACTACTACTACTACACACTATTTTCAAGCATTTTTTTTTAAATTAATTTTTCACCTGTTACAGGTTGATAAAGGCTGTTGTTCAACCACCACCCAGAACATGGCACTTTTGCTGTGCCACTTCAGATGTCTGGTACTTCTTTACCAATCAGATGTTTCTCAGCTTTACACTGAGTGTGACAGCAAAATGTCTTAACTTGTATTTATTTTTATCTTAACACAGCCATATGAGACAGTTTTTTATGAGGACAGCTGAATAAATACTGTAGTTCTCTTTAATGCAAAATGTATGCATTTTGACACATAAGAAGAAATCAGATGGTACTGTGTGCTGGCTGGCACAGCCCACTATACCTATCCACTGGCACGCATTATGGTAAAACAAATCTGGTTTCTCAGTCTTTGGTAATGAAATTACACTTTAAAACTAAGGGTAAATATAGCCGGGGGTCTCCGTCATTCTTCCGGAGGCAGTGGTGTGTCCTCTTCATTAAGAGGGAAGAGAGTGGTGCATTTCGGGGCAGTATGGTCAATGTTTGAGTTGCAGATGAGGAATTAGGCCTGTCATGTGGCACAAACTGCTTGTCTAAACAGTCCTCTCACTAGTCAGGGGCATAATGAGTTCCACAGAGGCCTCTGCCACCGCCGCATTGTGCTGTGCACTAATGTGACAGGGTAGCCTGAGGTCACACGTGTGTACCACAGGCTACTCGTTGGCTCATTGCTTTGAGCATTCTCAAATAAATGTTGGGGTTAATGGAGAGCTTGTAATTATATGTAATATTTAATGACTGTGGTATTGCCCCCCCTCCCCTACACCACACATACACACCTTAAGAATTACCCAAGTATGATCATTAATCCAACATGTGCTTGTTCTGCATGGATGCACAACCGGGGCACCTTGGTGAATGACAGCACAGCTTGCTGCCCTCCACAGGTCATTAACTCTTAATGACCTGTATGCTGGCAATTCATGCAGAATTTACCACCGATCCACTTCACTCGTGTGTGTCTTTCATGCCCCCCTGTCACTGTCATGATATTAGCATGATAAGTCAATCATAGTATATAAACTTCTGCTATCTACAAATGCTTTCTAAATGGGGTTTAAGTACTGTGGGCATACAAGTGGCATGCTTTGTATTCAGGGAATGAAATTAGCACCAGCCACCTGCCAAATACAGGGTAAATGTGTGTGGTAGGTAAAAGGTTCAGGCCACCTGCGTCCATGGCAGATGGGTTTTTCTTGTATTAATAAATATTATTGTAAAAAAGCAAATAAGTTAAGAATAGTCAGGGATTAAGCTGACATATTATATTTCATATTTACACACTACCACTGTCAATGTTTACAATTCTAAAGCGTTCTAAAAAGATTTCAGAAGTCCCGGACAAAAAAAACGGGGTTGCCGGTAAAGTGTTCAGTGACCTTCCACAGCAGCATGTGAGGAAAAACCTTCATTTTAGACCCTGCATGCATCAATTTGTCAAAAGGTTTATTCAAATAATGACAGTGCATTTTAGTTCCGGGCCTACAAGGGAAAGAATATGAATACCATAAACACCAGTATTTAAATAATAGCAGAGCCAGCATAAACAACAAAAGGGCAAGTAAAAACACTGAGGAGGGTTTAGCAGTACTATAACAGCTACCATGGTAAAGTCAGTATAATGTGCTATACCTATTTACTGCTCTTAGAGCTCTTTTCAAACAGAAATACTGTTTTCATGTAATAAATAATTTATATGTAATTTATAATAATTTATAATAGTATGATTAAGTTACTATCAGTAGAACTTACTGTAGATGTTTCAAATTCAAAGCGTACGAGCAAAAGGATGACTTATGCCCTTTGATTCCAGGGAAGTACGTTTTTTTGACGTAACTTAACGGTGTTCGAAAATTGGCAAAACAGAAACAACTGAGAATAATAAGCGAATGAAAGCAGTATTTCTGTTATAGAAGACAAACTGGTGAATAGTGGTGTGGAAAGGTACATTATCCTAAATTCATCATGACAGCAGGTGATGATGAATTTCATTGTCATTTTCCAAGATTAAGTTTTGTGATGAAACCATTGACCATTTTAGCAAAAGTAGCACGAACAGACATGAGTCAGAACTTCAGCAAACTGACGACTGATGTCAGATACACGATATCTAAAGTTAGCTTACATTAAGCAACTAGTCACACCAGAGGCTGTAGCTGTATTCGACTGAGTAAAGGTCAATTTTTATAGCTTCTGAATTTAACACGTCTTTTCTAAGAGGAAGATTGTGTTATTTCTTCTTTCAAAAGTTACATAGTCTCGCATTAATAGGATATTAAATTGAGAGCAGGGCCACAAAACAGAG